GAGGCTTGAATTTGACATGCAATTCGACATAAAATTTGGAGGCTCGAGCCATGCCTCGTGCAATCTCTCCTGCTGCCCTCCAGAAGAATTTTTGATACATTTGTCAGTGACGTTGTGTCACCGCTGCGGTCCGACCTAAGATCCTTATCTTTCATCGAAAGAGAGGCCACCATTTCTCTGAAGCACTGGTCATATATTATAATGTATGTATGTGTGTATGTATGTGTGTGTGTGTGTGCGCGCGCGCGTGCGTGTGTGTGTGTGTGTGTGTGTGTGTAGAGTATTGTTCAACGTGTTGTTCTAAACACGTTAAACAATACAATAACAATACAATGCAATATGATAAAACTGCAACCGATTATTTCTTAAGATAATAAAATTTCACTTCTCCGCTTATCTGCTGCGTATATATTTGATACAATCTTAATAAATTATTATAATATAAAAAGTGTGACTAATTAAGTAGAAATAATAAGGGATTGTTGTATCAGATTGAATTTTAAAACTTAAATGATATTATAAATAAGACAACTATAAATAAAACAATTAGACGAATATTTTGATCTCTGAATATTTAGATCATTCTCGTTTATTATCTTTATATTTTACATTATATTACTTTTTTAATGTCAGCATGCAACATAATATACAATAATTGTTTTAAAATATTCTTTTCTTTTTATTAAAATGTATTTTATTTATTATTCCAAACCATTTTAATTTAACTAATCATACACGCATCGCGGTAGATGAATTTTTGTTTTAAAATGGCCAGATCCTTTTACAGAATATAAAGAAACTAGGAAAGAATTGAAGAGTTCGAGCTTATTTACGAAACCGTTGTTTAAGAAAATAAATTTAGTTTTGTTATGGCTTTTGGATTGACTCAATGGTTAATATCATTTATAATATTTTTAACTATTATGTCAATTATTACCTGGTCCGCGATACATTTAAGTAACAGAAATGGGATCTCCATGGATATCGCCCTGAGATTTCTTGATGTAAATGACTCAATCGAATGGGAAAAGTATGTTTATCTCTTTCCTAGAGAGCCTTTTTATTCGTAAGTGTGTGTTTGATATGCTTATCTTTTTCGGTAAATCTCCTTCCAGAATCGTGCTAAACTCGACACCATCAGTGATAGAAAAAACTGATAGTTTGACGTTATTCGCAAATGATCAAGGCTCCGAAATACCAGACATTGTGCAATTTCAGAAAATATTGCAAACCTTTTACACAACTAATAGTAACATTGTTAATAGTGCGAATTATGATATTACGACAGTATTCATCAGTATTAGTAATATTTCAACATTGAGCGATAATACGACTATGTCACACATCTCTGATAAGACCTCTACATTAGATAATCATAAAAATGTCAGCGAGAAAGTCACAGAACGGTAAGCGTAAACTTTTTATTCATTGATTTTTATGTTTATATCTATATGATAATCATCATTATACATGTGGAAATGTTTTAAAATATTTCGCAGACCAGATCATATTTCGCAAACTACACATCCAGAGTTAACGTACGAAGTGAAATTATTCGACATCGACAAATTGTGGAATTCGAGTCGATTTATTGGAGCGAAGCTTTCCGGACTTTTTCGGGATGAAAAAAATGGAACATCAAATATGTCTGTTTTTACATCCACGCGAACATTATCTGAAGCAAAACAAACGGATGCAACAGACCAACCAATAATACATACTATGCAAAATGGAGAACTTGAGATATCGACAAAAAACCCTATAAAATAATATTTTATATATTTCGTTATCCCTTTCATATTTGAGTTTATTTTATTTTGCACGTTTGCTGACAATAAATGTAATAAAAAAAAAGGTTCTTTATTTAATTTTATGACCAAGGTAAAGACCATAGTAAAAAGTCGATAGGATTTATGATCTATCTAATGTCATAAAAAATTTAAGCTACACGAGAAGATTAGTTTAGTTTTTATAATAGATCTACACAGTTTTTCAAGTGTTTCTTTTACAAAAAAGGTAAGAAATAGTTGTAACAAACAATATATTTTTTGTAAAAGATTAGAATTCAATTTAGAAAAACGTAATTTCGAAATGTAATTTTTAAAATAATAGCTTCACACGAGTGACACTAGTGCTCACGGTCGAACCTTTCTTCATTTTTATGATCCCTAATATATATATATAAACCGATTTTATAACGTTTTTCTAACGCCTTTTGGTTATCCCTGCGCATATCCGTAGTGCACGTGTGTTAACACGGATGATCCCTAATATCCCTTTTTTAATATCCCTTGTTTATTCTAGCAATGTTACATCTGTTTGGATCCTAAGTTGAAACAGTGTTTCAGCTTCAATTTTTTTTTAAAGCTAAAATATTTTAATATGCGGAGCACGAAAGGAATCACATTATCGAACAAAGCAGCTCGTTGTAGTTGAGTAAGTAAGACTCTCAGTCTCTTTACAATCAAAGGGCATCAGGGTTTCAGTTTAAACATTTCGTAGATAAGGGTGACGCCTTTACTGTTTGTTTCTTTTAGTTTATCGCGAAGATGTCAATCTCTGGTTGGCTCATATTAATAAACGATTACGTCATTGACTCAAGGATTGACTGTCAGAGAGGAGAGGTCCAAGAAGCGTGAATGATTAACATCGTCCAATAGTAATGCAAATGATCCTGACGATTGATACGAAAAGCGTACTGTAGACTTGGTCTCTCATTTATATAATTTTTGTCGTTTCGCGATGTCAGCGAGAGACGAACAAAGCAGAAGCGAGAAAGTGTTGCTGCAATTTTGTCGAACGTGCAATACATCAAGATGGCGAACACCTGAAGCCAGCGTTGTCATGGATCATGAAAAAAATCCTGTCGTATTTACCAATCAGCGATTATATTTGCCGAGGATGTCATCATGTATTATATAAGATATTAGTATATCTCGATACGAGTTGACTCTTTAGTAGTGCGTCATATGAAAAAATTCCGTATCATAATAAAGAAACTTTGCTGTTAGGGAATTCTTAATATTGTGCCCTATAATATTCTAAAAAAACTACGTTAATAAACTACATATTGTTCAATTAAAAATAAAATATTTTTTGTTTTATTATTTATATTACATTTTTTTATTTCTTATATTTTAATATTTTAAAAAGCTATTTCAGCGATAGATATTCTCCATCAAAAATAAAAAAAACCTTGTGGCAAAATAAGATATACTCAAAATTGCAAAATTGTCTATCGTTTTTTTCTCACGTTCTCTTATTTATGAAATACTTATTGTTTCTGGTGTTTTTCATGAATGTCTACAAATACATTGCATGATCTGAAAATATTTCAATGCTTCAATACTTATCTCATCATTGAGAGTAAATGGAAGATCAATAATTGGAATTTAAGCATTTTGTGTTCATACAAAGAGATATTACACATATCAAATGTACATTTATTATAGATTCAATATTTATTCAAAATAACTTCTATTTTTTATTTATTCATAATTACATACTTCTTTTATTTGTATTCTTATATTTCAGCAAATTCAACGCATGTTTAGTCTCGCATATATTTTTATAAATCACTCTTTCACATCATGATCACAAAAACCTTAGGCATCAAATTTCGGTAACATTTCACGCTGACTTCGAGGGATGATTTACGTTATACTACACTAAGTGTACCTATCTTCTTTCGGCTTGACTTGCCGTGACGATGTCGACCAACATATGTTGTCAGATTCGTAAAACTGACAATGAACTCAATAGAAGTATTCAACCAATTCAATTGGCATTGAAAAAAAATTTTTTGTTGAATATGTTATAAAGATAAGAATTGCGTAGACGAAGTAGAATAAAATTATTATGTTAAAATCGCGTTAATATGTAATATATGCAAAATATGTAAAATAATTAATTATTTTGCATATATTACAAATCAATAAACAGATCTCATGTAAAAATGTGTATATATATAGTGTAAAACATTTTCCTTTTGATATAATGATGGAAAAATGGAACTTATCAATTCAAACTAGTTCAGCACTAATTATCTCCTTAATATAAAATTAATGCATCTTTTCCATTTTAATTTCCATTTCATTTTAACTGCTGCATTTGCAATAAGATGCATTAAAAATATCGTTGACGCAAATTCACGTGATAGTTTTAAAAACAGAGATGCATTAAAAATATCGCTGACGCAAATTCACATGATGAGTTTTAAAAATAGAATGACCACGTCTTCCGTGACCACGTCTTTCCGTTTTATGATGACTAATTCCTCTTCTCCTAGGATACTTTATCTGATAACTTTTTCTCTCTCTTTTTTTTATTTAACCAAGAAAATGGAAGGGATACGACGGGTTATATCAATAGTTTTACTCAAATGACGCTTGTGAACGATAGCCTCATTGGTCAAGTTTTTCTTCGGGTATTATGACGTGTTTATATTTGGCAGTATAAATAGCGGGACGACACGCTCGAAGTTCAGTTCAAAAGGAAGCGTCTACACATGCATATACGATCGCGTAGATGGCCAATCGATTCGAATATTACTAAATAATTTTGAGAATATTTCGTTCTCTTATTTTATTCTACGAAAATTGATTAATAATTGATAAAAGAAAGAGAGACTTTCTCTGACTGTATTGACGATGTCGTTAATACAGATTTCGAAACAAAACTATCTGCTGTTTCCATTTTTTGGTTCTTCGTCGATGATTAACGCAAGAAAGAAGAAAAGATGCTAGAATAAACCTGAGAACAGGTACAAAAGACATATATATATATATATATATAGCAAAGAAATACAACTTCATA